GCCCAAGCTACTAACTCCGTTGTCGTCCCGCAAACACATTCAGACCAATCGACCCTCTGTTCGATGAATGTGTTTGAATCCATAGAGGAGCTAGAGGAGTGGTCTTAGATCGGACCCGCTAGCTTCTTGGACGGCCATGGCCAAAGCCCCTAAGGATGAGTTTATGTCTCTACATAGGGTGAGCCGGTGCAAGTACCTCCAAACATAGAGGGAGTGGTCGCTAGGTACCCTGATCTATTCGAAGAGCCGAAAGGGGTTGTTGAGAGGGAGGTTGTCCATGCAATAGAGATTATCCCAGGATCTAGTATTTTGAAGGGTAGGATCTATCGGATGCCTCCAGTGGTGCTTGACGAGCTTCGCCGACAACTCAAGGAACTCATAGAGAAGGGTTGGATCCGATCGAGTGTGTCCCCTTACCGATCTCCTATCTTATTCGTGCCAAAAAAGGGGGCCACCAATGCCATCACAATAAAGAACGCAGAGCCCCTACCGCGCATCCATGACTTGTTGGACCAAGTGCAAGGGTACCTGTACTTCAATAAGATAGATTTGAAGTTCGGGTACCATCAGATTGCAATACGGCCCGAGGATCAACACAACCGCTTTTTAGACCAGGTACGGTCTGTACGAGTTTTTGGTGATGCCTTTCGGCCTATGCAATGCTCCTGGCACCTTTCAGCACGAGATGAACCGGATCTTTCACGACTACTTGGACAAGTTTGTCATCGTGTACCTCGATGACATACTTGTCTTTAGTAGGACTATCGAGGAGCATGTAGCCCACTTAGACAAAGTCCTTAGTCTAGTTCAAGATTAATCGGGAGAAGTGCGAGTTTGGTCACACCCAGATCTTGTATCTGGGTCATGAAATTTCCGCTGAGGGATTGAAGCCCAATGACGCGAAGGTGGCCAGGATTCATGACTTTCCGCGTCCTCAGTCTGTGACTGAGATGATATCCTTCTTCTTAGGGATGACCAGCTACTACCACAATTGTGTCAAGAACTATAGCATAGTTGCCGCCCCTTTGACGGACTTGGCACTCCTTGACACCCCATGGGAGTGAACAGACAGGTGTGAGGCTGCCTTCAAACATCAGAAGCATCCTCTGACACACCATGAGGTCTTGAAACTTTCTGATCCTGACAAGCCGTTTATAGTAACCACGGATGCCAGTCAATATGGCATAGGCGTCGTGCTTGCGCAGCAGGAGGGGCCAAAGTTGAGGCATGTTGAGTACATGTCCAAAAAGATGCCCTCTCGGAAGTTGGCTAAGTCCACCTATGAGAAGGAGCTATATGCCATCTACAAAGCGCTAACCCACTGGAGGCACTACCTCCTTGGGAGGTTCTTCTACGTTAGGATTGATCATCAAACCCTGAAGTGGATGAAAACCCAGCCTGTGCTCTCTGATGTGCTGAAACGCTGGATTGAAGTCATTGAGCAGTATGACTTCGAACCCCAGTACATCAAAGGAGAGTAAACAAAGTTGCTGATGCGATGTCAAGTAGGCCAGACTTCCTTTGTGTGCTGATCACTGAGTTTGGGCTTGCAGACGAGGTTACTCGCTCTTTGGTGGAAGCATACCGCGAGGATCCGTTTATGACTGAGATCATACGCAGACTCGAGGCAAAGGACAAAGTGACTTCTGCCGAGTTTGAGTTGGTCAACGGCCTGCTGTTCCTTGAGAAGGCCGGGAATAAACGTTTGTGTGTGCCTAATCGGGAGTCTTTGCGTAGTTTATTTTTAGGTGAGTGTCATGATGCCACCGGACATTTTGGTTATAAGAAGACTGTAGCCAATCTGCTGCAGCAGTTCTGGTGGTCCACAATGATGAGAGATACCAAACCGTACGTGGAGACTTGTCGAGTGTGTCAGAGGGACAAGCCACGTACACAGGCCCCTCTTGGGCTTCTCAAGCCCCTTCCCCGGTGAGAGCCTGTCCATGGATGTCATGGACACGATGTCCCCAGCAAGAGTGGAATGAGACATTTTTTTGTCATTGTGGATAGGTTTAGTAAGTACGCTAGATTAGTTGCAATGTCGAAAACAGCAAAAACCGAATACGTCATTAGGCTGTTTAAGGAAAACTGGGTCAGAGACTTTGGGCTACCAAAGTCTATAGTCAGTGACCGGGATGTGCGATTCACCAGTGAACTGTGGAAGGCTGCAGCTGCAGAACAAGGAACACAGCTGCAGATGACCCCCGGGAACCACCCAGAGGCAAACGGCAAGCCGAGCAGCTGAACCGCGCTGTACAACACCTGTTGAGGCACTACATCAAGCCCAATCAGGTGGACTGGGATGAGAAGCTTGCTCTCATTGCCAGCTTGTATAACAACACTGTGCACAGCGCGACCTGCGTGAGCCCTAACAGCCTGCTACTGACCTTCAAGCCTAGACTGCCCCTAGACTTTCTACTACCTGAGAACCAGTCAACTGCTGCACCTGGCACATTAGAATTCGCCTACCGATATGAGCAATTGATGCAGCAAGCAGTTGAACAGATGCACAAAGCACAGGCGGTAATGATAGAATCTGAGAACGAACACCGCCGTCCCTCGACGTTTCAGGTAGGAGACGAGTTTGGGTTAAGTCCTCTGAACTGGGGCAGGAGCACGGTATCTCCCGGAGGCTCATGCCACAGTACTTTGGACCCTGGCAGGTTCTAGATATCGTTGGGGATGATCCGGACGGGCCCTCATATGTAATACAGATCCCCGGTCACCTTCGCACTTACCCTGTCTTTCACGCCTCCAAGCTCGCACCTTCCAGAGAAACTGATCAGTTTCCCTCTCGTTGCTCAATGCTGCCCCCAACCATGGACGGAGAGGTCGACATCTATGACATCGTGGATCACAGAGAACTGCCAGTTTCAGGACCAACAGGAAGGGGACGCCCTCCGAAGCCGAAACTGCAGTACCGTGTTCGGTTCAGACATCACACTGATCCAAAGGAGGACCGATGGTTTACAAGGGACCGCTCCACAGGTTGTCAGTCAGTATGAGAAGTCTCTGCAGAAAGGAAAGCGCCAGATAGAATGATGGAACATCTCAGAGGACTCTCGAAGTATGGAGGAGGGAATGTGAGGCAGAAGGCATCGCCGTGCCCTAATGGTCCCCGTTTCCAACAATGTAGGCCGCCCTAAGTGAAGGCAGGCCCGACCAAGGACAAGAGGCCTTTTTCGGCTACCACGCAACTGGGGGAAATTCAGGCAGTTGCGCAGCGCCAGTTGGTTGAGAGCGCCCAGGCCCTGGCTGCCTTTTTCAAATGTAACTGAGGCAGGCCCTGGGCCAGATACGTAACATGGGCCGAACACAGGCTGCGGGCAGTTGAACACGGGCAACCGCTCTAGGCCCTGGGCCGGGGCTCAGCCACTTGGGGCCTACTGGAAGCTTCTAGGCAGGGGCCCAGCGCAGCAAGGCCGCACACAGCGGGCAGGCCACTTCCATATAGGAAAGCGCCTGCCCCCGCATTTGGCATTCGGGCACTTGCTACATGCTGCGCTACAAGCAGGCAAGCGCCCACGCACTCACGGGCGAGCAAGGGATGCGCAGACAGCCATAGCCGAGCTGACCTGCGAGGGCGCATGGTGGTCCTTGGGTGCACGTGGCATCTGTGTCGGGGACCGAGGTTGTGAGTGATGCGAGAGACATACCTGGTGCTTGAGGCAAACGCCATTGGCCGAGATCTGCTCGTACTTCGGGGAGCTGTTGACGTCACCAGCAGCATTGTAGATAGGCTAGATAGGATCTGCCATTTGTAGTCTGGGCACAGAGCGCCAGATAGGAAATCGACATTGGTTCTCTGTTGATGATGATGAGACTATACCAACATTGTCACTTGTGAGCTTTTGCTGTGCTCTTATTTGGTGGAACTCAAGTTGCAATTCTGCTTTTGGTTCGAGGTCACGACTATCTGGTTTCATGTATATGATGCTGCTTGGTTTCTGGAATTCGCTATCTCTCATTTTCTTTGCATTATCCTTTCCTCAATTAAAAAATGCCAAGTAGTTATCTACCGAGTTTTCTTCTATTACTGCAGTCGTATCGCCACCATTGATCTCAAAAGATCGATGGATAACAGCTCACCCATTCCTCTCTCTCTCTCTCTCTCTCTCTCTCTCTCTCTCTCTCTCTCTCTCTCTCTCTCTCTCTCTCTCTCTCTCTCTCTCTCTCT